GCAGAGAGCCCGATGTGGGGCTCGATCCCAGGACCCTGGGATCATGACCTGAGCCGAAGGCAGACGCTTAACGACTGAGCCACCCAGGCGCCCCCCGACCCGGCATCTTACCTAGGCATGGTTTTAATGTTCTTGGCTTTCGGTTTGTCTTATTTTTCTTCCAGATTGTTTTGGAAGCATTACTTACTATTTATGCATTTTTTTCATAGTTTAATTTTGATCAAAGTATTTATTAAACATATTCAATGTGTTAGGCACTCTTACATGTTTTACGTGGATTAATTCAATATTTCTAGAACATAGGTGTCCTCTCCGTTTTGTAAACGATGAGTTCGACGTGAAGAGGCTAACCTGCCAAGGTTCGTAGCTAGTAAGTGAAAGGGCCAGAGTCAAATCCTGAGCCACACGTTGGGAAAAAAAAAAAAAATACTAAAGCATTTACCAAAGGAAACCGATTTTAACTTCTCTTTCTCCTGGGGATTCTTCCACGTAACTAGATATTCTGTATTCCACGTAGCTAAATGTTATGTTTATATTGCGATTTCTTGATTTTTTTCGGTCAGTTTTGGACTTTTATCGGTTGACTTCTTGTTGTGATATGATACAGTGCCATTTCTTTCCTCCTTTATAGTTAGGTCACTGTTCTCAGCCCCTGTTAGATTATTGTAATGAAAATATTACAGTGGTGTTTTTGATTTCGTAAGCTAAAGACAATATTTTCTATGCCCCACTTGTATGATGAGACTGTTACTAACTGAAAAGCCAATGCTGTGTTTTTGGGTTTTTTTAAGATTTTATTTATTTATTTGACAGAGACACAGCGCGAGAGGGAACACAAGCAGGGGGAGAGGGAGAGGGAGAAGCAGGCTTCCCGCTGAGCAGGGATCCCGATGCGGGGCTCGATCCCAGGACCCCGAGATCATGACCTGAGCCAAAGGCAGGACATTTAACAACTGAGCCACCCAGGCGCCCCTTTTAAGAGCTTTTCTTTTCCTACAATTTCAAACTGCATTTGTTTTTGTTTCTTCAACTGTTTGCTTTTATCCTTACCTCTTCAAAAACTGTGTGGTACCATTTAGTCAATGACTCTCCTTTCTTCTCAGGGTCCTCCCTGTTAGAGATGTCCTGTTTTATGTACCGGTCTGTACAGTGTCCCATAGGCTGATGCATAGCCGCCGTTCTGGGATTTCGTTTTTCTCCTGGGTTGCATCCACTATTTACTGGATCTCTTTTCTTGGTTTACTTCCTTCTTCTGATATTCTCAAGTAACATCCAAAATTGGATATTTAAGAGATAAATTTTTCACCTCCTTATATGTCCAACTCACACTTGATTACAGACACACAGCTGGGTATAGGTTTTAGAATGAAAAGAACCCCTTCCCCACTTATAGCCTATCCCCCAGTTGAAAGCTCCCTTCCTCATTAGAAACTAGGACTTGCCCCCCAATTAGTTCTGTCCCGCTGCCCAGACCCCACTTAAAAAATCTCTGCTCTCAAACTGTGCCTCCCTTCACACCTAGCCCTCACAGCTCTCCCCTCAGACCCCACCCCATCCCCAAATGGCTCTCCTGTCAGTACGCCTCTCCCTTCTCAGAGCTCCTCCTCAGCAACTCCAGATGTTGGTAAAAGTATATCTCTTTATTTTTACCTTCTCTAAAATTTCACAGTAGTGTGTCCAGGTACCCCCAGAAGCTCAAGTCCTTTATATAAGCACCTTAATTCTGGAGGTTCAGGTTCTTGAGAGCTAAGCAATTCCAGATTTCTTTAATG